AAAAATTTGAAAAAAAAAAAAAGTTTATTTGTTTCTTTTATAAAATTTTTCAAACAGGTATTTTTTCTCCTTCACTGATTTGCGTTGATGAGGCGGCACTGATGGGCACTGATAGGTGGCACTGATGGGCACTGATAGGCAGCACTAAAGGGCACTGATAGGCAGTACTAATGAGGTGGCACGGATAGGCGGCACTGATAGACAGCACTAATTAGGGGTCACGGATAGGCGGCACTGATATGCAGCACTGATAGGCGGCACTGATAGGTGACACTGATGATGGGTACTGATAGACGGCACTGACTGGCATCACTTCTGGGCACTGAAACTGGCACAACCCCTGGGCACTGACTGGTGGCACTGACTGGCAGCACTGGTGGGTGGCACTGGTGGGTGGCACTGGTGGACAGCACTGGTGGGTGGGCACAGGTGGGTGGCACTGGTGGGCACAGGTGGGTGGCGCTGGTGGGCACAGGTGGGTGGGCACAGGTGGGTGGCACTGCTGGGCACATGTAGGTGGCACTGCTGGGCACAGGTAGGTGGCACTGCAGAGTGGCACAGGTGGGGGCACTGCTGGGCACAGGTGGGGGCACTGCTGGGAATGGGTGGGCGGGGCTAGTGGGCGCACAGCTGATCGGAACTTGCGGGGGTCACTGCTGGGCACCGATCATCAGGGCACTGATCATCAGTGCCCTGATGATCGGTGCCGATCCCCGCTCTGACAACTGCCGGTTCTCGGCAGTACTTTCCTCACGATCTGACAGCGTGAGGAAAGTGCAGCCGAGAACCGGCACTTGCATTTTCCTGTGATCAGCGTGTCATTGGACACCGCTGATCACGTGGTAAAAGGCCGGTGGGATCGGCCTTTCACCACATCTCGTGATCAGCTGTGTCCGTAGGACACAGCGATCACGGAGATCGCCGGGTGCGCGCCCCCTGGGGCGCGCAGGAGAGCGCGTTCTGGGAGGAGTCATATGACGTCCACTTCAGAACTGGCCGGCCGCGGTGAAGCCGTCATTCGGCTATGCGCGGTCGGCAAGTGGTTAATGACAGTTGAATTTGGCAGAGGCATCCTGGCTTCTGCTTTTTAGCCAGAATTGAGTGTGTAGCATTATCCCTCCCCTGTGTGGCTAGTTAGTTCCCATCTGTGCTGACATAAAGCTGTGAGGAAAATTGAATGACAGATACTTACCGTAATTTTCCTTTCCTGACCATGTCAGCACAATTCCCACCCAGCTTGGTAGGACTAGTTCTAGAACACTGATCCTGCAGGTGTGCTCAAATCTATGAGTTAGGAAGCATGGGGGGGGTCCCTTACCCAGCTGTGCTGACATGTGTGACTGGTGCCACTCATTCCCAACTGTTACGACAGCTTGTATGCCCACTGATAATCAGAAATCATTCAGTATGGTTCCAGGTCATGTGATCACTATGTCAACTATAGATGCTTTAATGAACAAGAATAACAATACCATCATCAGACTGCAGTGGCATCTGCCCTGTCAATTTCAAAAAGATGTAGTTGTCAATATCATTACAACATTGGAAATATATTGAAAAAAATAAATGTAAAAAGTAAAACAATTTTGTTTCATATTTGTAAGCCTTAATAAAAAAAAGTGGAGTAAGGTGTTTATTAAATCAGTGTGCTACATGAAAGTTTTATATGTCTTAAGCAAAATTAGATGTGCAAACTATCCACAGTTATTATCAGGTTAGCCCATGCATGCTGAATCTGCTCAATTCTGCATAACATATTCCTTATGGATTTGAAGCATTTTTATATTTTAGCTTTGGCCCCACTGATACAGCAATAACTGTAATTTTTAGTGACCTTTTTCCCCCAGTAAAAAAACAACTTTCTTTTAGCAGTATTCTCTAGCAATCAGTTAATTGCTTTAACTGACATTATGTCCAGTTCAAGGAAAACTATAGTAAAAGCATTAAATGAAAAAATATATTGCTGCAATAATATTGTTACAATGTGTTTAATAGTAAATCCGGCAAACAGCAGCACCTTTGATCCCTCTGGAACCACTGTAAGCAAATTTTATTTTCCCTCTTAACATTTCAAATCCCACATAAAGGTGTATGTTTATCATTGTTTTTTCACCCATGATTTACAGTTCTTTCACCAAAGATTTACAGAGTTTTCACATAAGTTTCAACTGGAAAATAAGTGATTCATGGGTAGAAGTTGTGTGAATCTTGGGTGAAAGCATAAAAAAAGCCCCAAAGGATTGGTTTTGTATAACAGAAAAAAAAAACACTGAAAACTTAAGTTGGCCATAGATGGATTGAAATTTAGCCATTGTAGCATGGGCCAGCCGAATTTCGATCAGTCAGTGGGCAGGTTGATTGTACAGAAGTTGATCTCTCGACCTTCTGTACAACAAGCCTGTTGGAAAATTTTTTGCTCAATCAGCTGACTATAGTTGGCAGAGCTGATGAGTGTTTTCTGGTGGTGGGGAAGCCTTCCCACTGTCAAATATAGCAGAAGAGATTCTACACTTTTAATGTGTGGACGGGGGAATCAATAATTTTCTTTTTGTTTAACCCACTGGTTGAACAAAAGAAAATTAATCATGTATGACCTGCCTTAGTTGGGTATTGATTACATCTGTAGGAGCAACATCGTTAGCAGCTTTTGTCCTTGTGTCATTAAAATACTGGTGAGCCAAATAGCTATTGTCTCAATGCTGCACCTCAAATGGTTAAAACATGTGTTTAGCCATCAGCTCACATTTTAGTTAGTTAGACTGCATTTACTCAAGGACCAGAATTTTACAATCACCACTAGTAGGAAGAAAATGTTTAAAACTCTACTTTGTTAATAATTTGCTCAACTAGTTTTGCAATGAGAGAGTCTACCATACGACAAATAGTAAGCAAGAGAGATTTTCATGTTACTACCATAGAAAAATCCACTGCTCTCCAAAAAACATTGATGCTCGTCTTAAGTTCACTAAAGTCCACATAATTAATCCATATAACTTCTGGAGCAATGTTCTACAGACAGCTGAGACAAAAGTTACACTAATTGGGAAATACAATGTAGAAAACAAAACAGCAGTTGCCAACATCAAATCCACATCCCTGGTGTGAAGCATGGTGAAGGGAGTATAATAATGTGCTGCTTTGTTAGACAGAGATGGATTGCTTGCAACATTTAGGAACAAAATAATTCCCAAAGACTTTACATGGTAATAGAAGACTAAAGTGTGTGCTGAGGAGTTTCAGATCAAAGCTATCGCACACATATACAGTATATGCCATCAGTTAGTGCTCACTGCACATGTGTAACACCCACCAATCACTCCTTCACAGTTCATACATGAAAAAAGTATAGCAGTACATGCTAGACCACTAAAACAATAACCTGGTAAAATTATGTTAATGATTTCTAATGAAATTCTCAAAAATAATAACCAATTAACTGAATATTAATGTACAATGTATAATTTACAATTTATGTTTTTTATTGAGGATTTAATATAAATAGATTAAAATAAATTTAACAGTTTATTGTGATTCAACCAAAGTACCTAAAAGGTAACAATAGATTAATGTTCTTTTTTAGTCTATTGGGATTGTGTCTACGTGTCTTTGAGATGTTGCTGTACCCACACATATCATTGTGTTGTATTGTATTGTATTGTAGTTCTAATATGGAGGCCCAGCCTCAGTAAAGAGGAAAACATATTTTACTATGTGCGGTAATATAATTCAGGCTGCAGTCCTGAACTGATTGTTGCGCTGTCCCTTCAAACACAGGGGTGATGGAGAATGCATTACACTAACCTTTAAATTCATCTTGCATCTTTTTATCTGCAACTTATCCCCATATTTATTTTTTACAGTGCTCCAGTGCCTGACACTATAGGTATCTATTCAAAAAATATTCAAACAATGCCTGTAATGTCTGAAATATATTTAAAATGTCAGTTTCTATTCATTGTCATGTGACATGTGAATGCAACATTCGGTAACTTTCATTCCCAAGAAAAAATAACTTTAAGTACATTCAGCCAGAAGAGGTAAAAAAACATTTGACCAAAAGAGAACCTGAGCAGAGAGCCACTCCGGGCTGGATCCCAACCATATGGTCGTGATCTGTCCCCAGCATGGACTGACTCTGCGACGTCAGTCAACAGCGGGCTTTAGACCATTGTGAGCTAAAAACGGGTAACAGAAGTGCAGAATGAATTGAACTCCTGTGATCCACAGGAGAAGTACAGCCAAAAGAGGTTTGGCTGTACTTCTCCTTTTTTTTTGTCATGTGCATAAAGTTCTAATTTATGCTCTATGCCACCCATAATCAGATCAGAGAGATCCAGGTTTATTAGAACTTCTCGTTGCCATGTAGACACTTCCAAATGTAATGCAGATTTTCAGAGTAAAGTAACGAGAGTAAGGTCGAGGACTATTTCCTAGATCCACTGTTTTCAACCTTTTTTCAGTCAAGGCACCCTTTAAAATTCTGCTCAATCTTAAGGCAGCCCATTCTAAAATGTAAAAAATGAATCTAATAGTTTTAAATAACACAGCATCATCCACACACATAGGGCACCCAACGTTAGATGTGACGTATTCTTCCAAAGCAAACAGAACTTTGCATACTGGTAATGACTAATATTCCAGTGGTTCTCTTCTCTCTCAGTTTTCTTTCCCTGATTCTGCTAATGTGACCCCAGTGCTGACAGTGATGGGCAGGGGAGGGGCAAACAAAGAAGCTGTGCAGGCACCTGACGTCCTCCTCATAAACCAATGACATCATTGTTGGGATGCCAGTGGCTGGAAGTTTGTATTGGTGCACAATGAAAACTCATGGATTTGTATAACTAAAAGGGCAGCTCGATCCACCCACTGGCTTGTATACAGTTTTTTGGGCAATTTTTAGCCATTTTGGCAAAGCACCTCTTAAGAAACCTGAAGGCACCCTAGCTGGAAAAGACTTTCCTAGAAATACTAGAGGTATCTAGAACATAATCATCCACTTCATTAAAGTGGTTGTAAAGGCTCAAGGTTTTTTACCTTCATGCGTTCTATGCATGAAGGTAAAAAACCTTCTGTGTGCAGCAGTGCCCCCAGCCCCCTCAATACTTACCTGTGCATCATCGAGATCCAGTGATGTGAATGACAGCCTCTTCTGCCCTGGGTCTTTGCCTCCTCATTGGCTGAAAGAGCAAGCGGAAGCCATTGGTTCCTGCTGCTGTCAATCACAGCCACTCAGCAAATGAGGAGAGAGAGGGGGTGGGGTCAAACCATGGCTTTGTGTGTGAATGGACACACGGAGCAGCGGGTGCCCCCATAGCAAGCTGCTTGCTGTGGAGGCACCCGACAGACAAGAAGAGCCAGGAGAGCCTGCAGGGACCCAAGAAGAGGAGGATCCAGGCTGCTCTGTGCAAAACTACCGTACACAATAGGTAAGTATAGACATGTTTGTTATTTTAAAAAAAAAATTACCTTTAGAATCGCTAAAAAAAAATGCAACTTTAGGTCACTTCATATGATGAAGTGACCTTGGTGATATTGGTTGATTTTACCAAATAGGTATTTGAAAAAGGTTTTCTGATGTATATTTGGAGAGTAAATATATATGTGAAAAGACCACAAAAACAGCACTCTCAAATATCAACTATAAAATAAATAAATAAAAAATAAAATTAATAAAATTATGAAACAAAAAGAAAAAACAACCATCAAATAAAGTGAAATTGTGTGAAAAAATGAATATCAAATTAATGAATTAGTATCAGATCCTACATAAAGTCCATCAAATAAAGTTCATATACATATTATATGATCTTTCTTCAATGAAGATATGGAATCTTTCTCAAAAATAACAATCCTCCACCAACATGAATGATCCAGTGATCAACACCCCATCAAAGTGCAAACTCACCAGATACTCGTGAAAAACCAGCCTATCTTTGTATATCAATGGATGTGAGGTAAATCAGCAGCATATCGTTAATACTCATTCATCAGATGATCTCAATAATCTCCATCATGGTAACCATAAGCCACATGTCCACATGTGAATAGATAGAAAACACTCTCCATAGTGTAATAATGTTTCAGAAATTTTATTCAAACAAATTCCCTCTTAAAACCGCACTCACATTATGTAAGCAAATATAAAGCCTTTAGTAATTAAAATAATTTCCAGCCTGCAGCACTTATACACTGCTTCCAACACACACAGTGGCGTCTTACCAGCCTGCTACAGATAACTTGGTTGCAGTCACGTGGTCCGGACACGTGATTGCGGCGTACGTGATGACGTCACTGCTGGATCACGCCCTAATGCGTTTTGTCACACGACTTCGTCCAAGAGTGTGATCAGCAGTGGATTAAGCTAGCTCCAATAGGTTGGCATAGATTAACATAACAACGCCATCTAATGATGGAACACAGGATGACCCAAACTACACTGATTGCCTATATTAGACACCTTATCAGAGGGGAGTATTAAACTACTCCTTAGTGCCATCTTGTGTTCGATCAACAAATTGTTCATACCATACTTTGAACATACAAATAATAATGACCTATATCCATCATCCATCTATATATATCAATACAAATATCAGACAATAATATTAATATAATAAGTAATAAAATTAATAATGACAATATTAATAAACTAAAAAAATAAATAAAATAATTAAATAAATGAATTAATAATCACTAATAAAGCAATTCAAATCCAATTCGATATTAAGACCATTAGGGGTCAAAGCTTCAGTTAAATATATCCATCTGATTTCACAGTTAGATAATTCCCTTATTCTGATCCAGCAGTGACGTCATCACATACGCCGCCATCACATGTCCGGACCACGCAACCGCAACCACGTTATCTGTTGCAGGCTGGTGAGACACCACTGTGTGTGTTGGAAGCAGTGTATAAGTGCTGCAGGCTGGAAACGATTTTAATTACTAAAGGCTTTATATTTGCTTACATAATGTAAGTGCACTTTTAAGGGGGAATTTGTTTGAATAAATTTTCTGAAATGGTATTACGCTATGGAGAGTGTTTTCTATCTATTCACATGTGGCTTATGGTTACCATGATGGAGATTATTGAGATCATCTGATGAATGAGTATTAACGATATGCTGCTGATTTACCTCACATCCATTAATATACAAAGATACAGTATGCTGGTTTTTCACCAGTATCTGGTGAGTTTGCACTTTGATGGGGTGTTGAGCACTAAAGCATTCGCGTTGTTGATGTTATTTTTGAGAAAGATTCCATATCTTCATTGAAGAAAGATCATATAATATGTATATGGACTTTATTTGATGGACTTTATGTAGGATCTGATATTAATTCATTAATTTGATATTCATTTTTTCACACAATTTCACTTTATTTGGTGGTTGTTTTTTCATTTTTTTCATAATTGTAATAATTTATTTTTTATTATTTTTTTATTTTATAGTTGATATTTGAGAGTTCTGGTTTTGTGGTATTTTCACATATATACAGTCAGGTCCATAAATATTGGGACATTGACACAATTCTAACATTTTTGGCTCTATACACCACCACAATGGATTTGAAATGAAATGAACAAGATGTGCTTTAACTGCAGACTGTCAGCTTTAATTTGACGGTATTTACATCCAAATCAGGTGAGCGATGTAGGAATTACAACAGTTTGCATATGTGCCTTCCACTTGTTAAGGGATCAAAAGTAATGGAACAGAATAATAATCATAAATCAAACTTTCACTTTTTAATACTTGGTTGCAAATCCTTTGCAGTCAATTACAGCCTGAAGTGTGGAACGCATAGACATCACCAGACGCTGGGTTTCATCCCTGGTGATGCTCTGCCAGGCCTCTACTGCAACTGTCTTCAGTTCCTGCTTGTTCTTGGGGCATTTTCCCTTCAGTTTTGTCTTCAGCAAGTGAAATGCATGCTCAATCGGATTCAGGTCAGGTGATTGACTTGGCCATTGCATAACATTCCACTTCTTTCCCTTAAAAAACTCTTTGGTTGCTTTTGCAGTCTGCTTTGGGTCATTGTCCATCTGCACTGTGAAGCGGTGTCCAATGAGTTGTGAAGCATTTGGCTGAATATGAGCAGATAATATTGCCCGAAACACTTCAGAATTCACCCTGCTGCTTTTGTCAGCAGTCACATCATCAATAAATACAAGAGAACCAGTTCCATTGGCAGCCATACATGCCCACGCCATGACACTACCACCACCATGCTTCACTGATGAGGTGGTATGCTTAGGATCATGAGCAGTTCCTTTCCTTCTCCATACTCTTCTCTTCCCATCACTCTGGTACAAGTTGATCTTGGTCTCATCTGTCCATAGGATGTTGTTCCAGAACTGTGAAGGCTTTTTTACATGTCGTTTGGCAAACTCTAATCTGGCCTTCCTGTTTTTGAGGTTTACCAATGGTTTCCATCTTGTGGTGAACCCTCTGTATTCACTCTGGTGAAGTCTTCTCTTGATTGTTGACTTTGACACACATACACCTACCTCCTGGAGAGTGTTCTTGATCTGGCCAACTGTTGTGAAGGGTGTTTTCTTCACCAGGGAAAGAATTCTTTGGTCATCCACCACAGTTGTTTTCCGTGGTCCTCCGGGTCTTTTGGTGTTGCTGAGATCACCGGTGCGTTCCTTCTTTTTAAGAATGTTCCAAACAGTTGTTTTGGCCACGCCTAATGTTTTTGCTATCTCTCTGATGGGTTTGTTTTGTTTTTTCAGCCCAATGATGGCTTGCTTCACCAATAGTGACAGCTCTTTGGATCTCATGTTGAGAGTTGACAGCAACAGATTACAAATGCAAATAGCACACTTGAAATGAACTCTGGACCTTTTATCTGCTCATTGTAATTGGGATAGTGAGGGAATAACACACCTGGCCATGGAACAGCTGAGAAGCCAATTGTCCCATTACTTTTGGTCCCTTAACAAGTGGGGGGCACATATGCAAACTGTTGTAATTCCTACATCGTTCACCTGATTTGGATGTAGATACCCTCAAATTAAAGCTGACAGTCTGCAGTTAAAGCCCATCTTGTTTGTTTCATTTCAAATCCATTGTGGTGGTGTATAGAGCCAAAAATGTTAGAATTGTGTTGATGTCCCAATATTTATGGACCTGACTGTATTTACTATTTCTATTGCTGTATAATAGCAGCTCTAATCGAATCAACTATTGTGATTACTATACTCATTATGCGCGATGATATAGGCTTTAGGATATATTGATTGTATATCATACTTCTCCTCTGGCCTATATATTCTACTTATAATATTTGGAGAGTAGACTACTATGATTACTAATTTGTTGCTGAAGTAGTTAGAATGATATACTTCCTGTTAGGGTCTGAGATCGATTTTTGTAGCTGGAAGACTATTGTCTTTTTAATTGTGATCACAACTCCTTTTCTCTTTCTCAGAACTAGCAAAATAATAGTGCATTAAGCTATGGTTCTTACTTGTCAGCACTTGAATAAGTGAGTCTCTAGTATACACAGTACGTCAGTTATTAGCCTTTCCATAATGAAGACCATTTATAGAGGTTATTGAGCCCTTTTGTATTTAGTGAGGTGATCTTAATCATGGTAAAAAGTGGCAATAGATGCTCCGCATAGAGCAAAATATCATATGGCAGAATACAATATAAAGTAGTAACATGATATACAACAGTAATTGTGCTTCACTCAGGTGAGACCATACATATTGACAAATAAAATACGCATCCAAATAAGATAGAAAACAATAAGAAATAAACCTAAAACAGAAAAACCCATATGGGTGTGCATGGTATACTCATCCTTCAGGGGATAAACATGGGCTGAGAGGTATATGACCCATAACATAAATGGGCCCGTTAGTGGTGCATTGTGGAAAGTACATTTATTGCTCTCTCTGGTATGTGTGTCCTCAAACCATTCATTTGTTAAGAAGAAGGCAAAACATTTTTCTGGAGGGGAGTTGAGGATATGATGCCATCATTTGGTGTCTATATGAACACCATTTTGTTTTCATATGAAATAGTTGGATTCAGATTTGTGCACAATACATCAGTGAAACACTTAAATTCTCTCCTCTTTTGACCAGAAATGTACAGAAATATCAGTAGACAGTGAGATCTGAACATACGGCTCTGGTTGGTATCTGCTTTCCCAGATACAAACACAAGACTCTGTTTCATAAGAAAAAAGTGTACCCTGGCAAGCAGATCTCTAGGTACAGATGCTGTCAATTGGTGAGCCTGTGTGCCCTGTCAGTGATCAGATCTTGTGGAGAATATCATGTTAGACAAGAGTTTAATAGTTGCTGGAAATAACAGGTTAGTTCAGCTGTGGTGACTGATTCAGGTATCCCCCTGAGTTTTGTTTAAATCATTTTGAATCTCTTTGTGAAATGATAGGAGCATTTTGTTTAACTGCAT